CTGTCATGGAATAGTCTTGTGCTATTTTATTTCATTATCCTGTAATTAGAATCGTTAAGAAATTTGTATTAGATTCTATATATGGGGTGTCAGTAGAATTGTTTTTATTAGACTTAATCTGATCATGATATTGTATAATTATTCACAGTAATTAATATCTGTAGAAAACAAAATTAGAAATTTAGTGTATAAAAAATAAATGTTCATCTATATGCGTTGAAATATTGAACTATTAGTAAAAGGGAAATTCTATTTTGACCCAGGTCAAATAGAATTTAGGATTAGTGCGGGCCAAAATTATGTTAATGCCGGCCGGATTTTAATATTAAAAAAACCCTGGCCCGCACTAACCCTAAAATTTTGCTAACCCGGTCAAAATGGAATTTTCCATTAGTAAAATGTTTGGATTATTAAGCATGCTCAGTTTAAATTCAATTTTGTTAAAATATGAGTGTCGCTAAAAGAAAACCTGACAATTTAAATATAAGTAAAATATTTAAATTGTCGGGTTTGCTTTTAGCGACACTCATATAACTGATACTTCAATTTATTGGAAAATGTGTACCAGGTTGGTGGCGCAGACAAAATTCTTAAAATTCGTTAGGGCTAGGGTCAGGTTTAAAAGCTAGAAAGTAGTTTTAATAATAAAATTGTTCAACGAAAACATTTTGTTAGAGCACAAAGGTGGTTTCTTATGCTGATTGTTGAGTTATGAGCGATTTTTAGCAGAACGAACGTTTGTTTTAAATCTTGATTGTGTTAGTATTGAACTGGGTAAAATCACCACCCTAAAACATTTCACGGCCAATCAAATTTCGAGTTCAGGTGTAACGTAGCACGATCAGGAAATTTCAAAACAAAACGTTCGTTTTTCAAAAAATCGCTTATAACTCAAAATTTAGTCTATGAAAGAACCTACTGCGCACTAGTAAAATATTTTCCTTGCAAAATTTTGGTATATGAAGTATCTTCGAATCCTAATTTCATGTCAAAGCCCTGATCATAACCTAACAGCACGAAATTTTATTTCGAAATTTTTTTTGGTGGCGATTCTACTCCTACTCTAGTAAAAATAAGCACCCTATGCCAACTTTAACAAATTTTACAATAATTGCAATGCAAAAAGAGGTACATATTTTCTGAGAAATGTAGTAACTTACTTTTACTGTCTTTAATAAAAATATTATGCATGATTTAAAATTTTATTGATCTATTAATTAATAAAATCTTAAATTTTTAACAATCAAGTAAAAAGATTTACTTGGTGCGTAATAATTTAGTGTCGCAAAACCAGTTTTACAAGTATTACACATTTCTTGGAGTCGATATATATCACTCCTTCTTTGCAAAACGTAAAAAATCTACATCTATATCTACCGATTTTTTTTTGTGAAATTTATACATCATAGGCACATCAAACTGAAATGAAATAACAAATCATATTATGTAAAAAATGAAATCTTAAAAATACGCGTTCAGGATAAACAAACCTTTATTTCAGCAAGGACTTCACATTCGACATTCCAGTCTTGAGCTTTTTTGAGAATGTACTAAATGTGCGGCGGGAAAAAAAAACAATCTTTAATTTAAATTTCATTTGAACAAAAGTGAAATATTAGATAAATTACCTCTCGTGTAGAACTTTTGTGTAAAGAATATACCGAAGTTGCTGCAACCTAAAAATTTACCTATTAGATATTATTTGATAAATTCTGGAATCACATGCGCTCCATTAATGTTAAACCTCAAGAGCCTTTTTTAGAAATAACATGTCTATGCCTTTGTTGTTTTTCGTTCCAAACGGAGGATTCATAACAACAGTGTCTACATTATTTTTCCACCGACATAATGGGTCTAACGTGAGATCAGTAAGTATAAAATCCACATTAACATTATCATTTGAACAGTTTTTCTGCGCAATACAAAGAGCTGATGAATCGATATCTAGTGCTAAATTATAGCTGAACCGAAAAAAATTAATGAGATTAGGAACGAAGCTTATTAATGCAAAATTCAAAAAGTTCTTACCCGGATTCGAGAAAACTGGACGCGATACTACACTTTTTTTATGAGAAGGTAGTGCTTATCAGGGATTTTTTTTTTTTTTTTTTTTTGTTGTGGAAATAAAGTAAACCTGCGTTCGTTTTAAGTCCTTACCTCAAAATGCCGCACCCACAGCCAAAATCTGCAACAGTCTTGCCTTCAATGTCGTCGTAATTGGAATGTGCAGTGAAAATCATACGTGCAGCGAGGTGTGGTGTTGTACAATACTGTTCTAATTTAATTTTTGGACTATCTGTGTTTATCAAAAGCGAAATAAATACTATAAGTTTTTATTACAAAGCGTATCTAATCTGTGTATGCTCACCAAATACGGCAACATCTTGAAGAGAACTTTCCAACTCTTTGAGACGCATCGCAATCAATATTTTAGAATCGAAAGTCGATTATCGATCATCTTCATAGAAGGACATTCATATGATTGGCTAATTTACGGCACGTCTGAAATGTGTGCCAGGTTTGTGGCGCAACTGTGGCGCATATTGCCTAAACTACGAATCAGATTTCAA